GTAATGTGAACGTAGGTGCTCCATACACTGCTATTTTTGGGTATATATTAATGTTTGACCTGATTTTACTTCACTTCACCTTATATTTTTCGCAGGAACAGTTATCACAGCATTATTGTGCAAAAATAAGGGTGGTGTATCACGGCACTCTGCCAGCCGCTTTTGGCTTCCATAGAGACATCAACAAGCCTATACCTCCAACACTACCGGAGGTTGACGCTAGCTCACGCGGAATGAGCTGGCAGCGGCTGGCAGCGCGCCCATGAAACACAGCCAGGGGTTTCCTCTGTAAAGTCATTGTTGTCTAGGTACATGGGCCTTTACCAATTGTTAACAGCTATAAAAATTGGAATTAAAAATGTTCAGGTATTATGAGCATCAGCTTAACAGGGAAGAGGATTCGGCTTCAGCCCATCTTGCAACACCTCAATGAAATTTAACGAGAAACTTAAATTGAGGGAGCAGCTACTTAACTGAGGTAAAGCCCATAAATCCTTGTGGATTTACCTACATACCTGAGGTAAATCCACAAGGCACCTTGAGTTCAAAATATTCACCTTATATTTTTTGCAGGAAAAGTTATCACAACATTATTGTGCAAAAATAAGGGTGGTGTATCACAGCACTCTGCCAGCCGCTTTTGGCTTCCATAGAGACATCAACAAGCCTATGCCTACAACACTACCGGAGGTTGACGCTAGCTCACGCGGAATGCGCTGGCAGCGGCTGGCAGTGCGCCCATGAAACACAGCCTGGGGTTTCCTCTGTAAAGTCATTGTTGTCTAGGTACATACTACATGGGCCTTTACCAATTGTTAACAGCTACAAAAATTGGAATAAAAAATGTTCAGGTATTATGAGCATCAGCTTAACAGGGAAGAGAATTCGGCTACAGCCCATCTTGCAACGCCTCAATGAAATTTAACGAGAAACTTAAATTGAGGGAGCAGCTACATAACTGAGATAAAGCCCATAAATCCTTGTGGATTTACCTACATACCTGAGGTAAATCCACAAGGCACCTTGAGTTCAAACTATGAAGTGACTCCAAGCGAAATATAGCAGAAATTGGGACTTAAAGGAGCTTAGAAATAATCTGCTTAGTGCTGGATGAATGCTTTCACTTTAAATGAACACCATCATATTTGAGTCATGAAAAAAGTGTTGAGTAAGCATAAGCTTGTAGCATAAAAGATGTTTGTGATAAGTCACTAGATTTTAAAGTGTTAGTCTCTGCACATTGATTCTCTGATTGTTTGAATGATGAAGTCTCTGCACAGTCTCTGATTGACTGAATGAGCTCACTGACAATAATGAATTTCATGGGAAGATTTTATTTTGAATAAAAGAAGGTAATATTTTGAGTTGATTTTACCTATTCTGTGAAGATCATAGCATGTTTAACAGCATTCCAAACAGGGCATGTCAAATGTTGGATGGATCTTGGGATTTCCTTGAAGTGTTTACCATATGTTTTTTTTTTATTCAAAGTTATTGTATTGTTCATTATTGTAAAAGCCAATCAACTTTTGCAACATTGAGGATCATACTTTAGCTTTGGATACAAGACATATGTAGTTATGCTGATCTTTTTTTCCAGAGTTTATCACTTAACTTCATTCACTTTTGATGTAGTGAAATTCATGATCATTTTTTTGACAAGCTACATTTGAAATGAATTGTTGCCCCCTTTTTTACCATGCATATTTTTGTGTCTTGTGAGGTCTCATATAGCAATAACAAGAGCAGTGACATGCATAGTTTGCTTGTGTTGTCACAACTTTGTACAATATTTCCAGCTTTATAATATGCACTATGCAGTTATCAGTCACATTGGGCATCACACATATATTTTTTTCCTGCAGGAGGGAAGACACAGGAGGGAACTAGTGACTCATGTTTTTGCTTCTATCGCTTCGCCCCTGGGGAATCAGTTCCTACACCCCTTGAGTATAATGGTCACCAAGGGGTGCTGTCCTGACACGTTCACTTTCTGTTGAGAAGGTTAGAACAAACACCATGTGTGTCATTTAGTTGCATATATAATACCTCAATGTTAAGTCTGCATAAAGTCTGAAGTCTGTAGCCACTCTTACCACTTATCATGGCTCACTCTCCCGCTCTTTCCTTTGTCGCCCTAAAAGGCGCGGTATTTGCCTTCAATGACCTCTGGTGACATGATCTTTGACCTGACGAAAAACGTGACTTGTGGATTTCGTCGTTGTTTTTTTTTTTTTTTACTCTCTTCCGAACACCGCTTTCCCGTATCGTTAATTGGCCGAGGAGCCGAGTTACACGCCCCCTCCCCCCAGCAGGGTAGCACACCGACTGCGGTCTGCACGTGCAAGGCTCATCCTCTCGTTTGGTGGCGGGCGTTTTTGCTGCGTTTACAAAGGTGCTTGCTCAAACAACCTGCGGTCCCGCGATGCGGAGCCCGGCATCGCAGATGCCGGGTATGTTTGTGTACTAGCGGCGCTAATGAAAATGTAATTAATTGTAGGTATGTGGCTGCGAGTTGATGTAAAAAATAAGTGCTGTACCTATTTGACAAAAGTTCTCTCTCTTAGTTGTACGAGGTAAATAACACTGCGACAGCTTTGTTATTCTGAACTGTTTTCAAAGGATTTTTGAAAAAAATGAACACAGGTAGACTGCATTAAATTCACTCAGATCTACAATAAACATGCAAACGTTTATCGTTTGCATGTAGGAGGTCAGGGGTGCCAGCAATTCTTTGCGTCAACAGCCATTCATTGTGCGCTCAACCCCTTCAAACCAGCACTCGTACCTATCGCTCTTTGTAATAAAGTTCGTGATAATGAGTTGGATCGAGATGACGAGCCGAAAAGAACAAGTGAAGATAAGCGACCGGCGAGGGAGCGGCCCTCACTCGGTCCGAGTCGTTGCTGTCTCTCCCACTCCACTGCCGGGCTTCGGCCCGCTCCGGCGCGACATATACCACGCGTCATACATACGTCACACATGTACGTCATATCATAACACCAATCAGAGGCGGGTCAGGAAAGGCGTCACAGGTAAGGAACGAGGACCATAAAAGGACATTGTTAGTAAGGCAGGGGGCTGGGAATGAACTTTGTTACACTCTTCCAGCAGATGGTTTGATAATGTGGGCTGCATTTGCATGACGAGCACTCATATCATCATTGACTTACCTACTATAAACGCGGTTTAACAGTTTAAATTTAGTAACGGCCAATTTTCTCATATTCCAGTCACAATGTTCTGTAAATAGTAAATACCGACAGACTCTTTCCTCGGTCCACACTATGCGCTGGCTCGGTCTCCGGGGTGGCCCAGGCCGCGTCGACCACCGGCGCACAGTGGGCGCGCGCGACGCGCGGCGGCGGCGGATCGCGGACCAGGCGGCGTCGGCTCCGCCTGGGTGTGTTTTTCGCTGGTCTGTCGGCGCCGATAGTGGGCTGCCGTCGGCCGGCACCTCCATTTGTCACTGATTCCGTACCGGCTCCCGATAAAAGTCAATTAGTATTGGGCTGAGAGTGTGCGCTCCACTGGCGAGACGGCCGCAGCACCAGCGCCGACGGCCGGCTCAGTCGCATCGGACACATCCGCGGAATGTCTCACCGAAAATAAACATATTTGAGAATAAAACATTCGGAAAGGATTAAAACACAGTTTGTCACTACCTCGGATTTCAGACCTACAAATCATTTTAGTTGCACTTTTCAGTCTTGAACAACGATTTAACACTTTTATTAATGGTAGTTCGACAGACGTCAATACCAGAAATTGGTATAGGATACATTTCCGACGGTACTGGACCCGGAAACAACTATCTCCATTCTGCAGGATGACCAAGTTAAGACGGTCAATTGGTCGATTCCCTTGGCACACTACTCATACTCATGCTTCCGAACAATGCAGAATCCTCGTTAAAATTTCAGACAAATGTTAGGTCAGGTATTCAGTACAGTGCTGAGTTTATTTCAATGCCGGAACCCGTGTCTTTCAAATCATTTTGATTACTTATTCCCGCCTGGGTAAAATCACTGCCTATAACCACCTGTTGGAAGCTGTAAATCGGAGCGCACGGCGGCACAATGAGTGGATGGAACGCACTCGTTCAGCGCGCTCCTGAGGCTCTCTCAGTCGTTCTGAGATGTGCGGCGCCGCGACCGAGTGCAGACCGCCAGGTTCAAAGGGTTCCTTTGTCAGACTTACAGACGAACTCCGCTTAACACCAACTTTTCTACAAATTCCCCCTGCATTAAAGCTGGCGCCTCCGACTGACGTGTTTTTGTCGTTTTTCATCGCCGCGGAGCGATAAAATTCTGAGTCATTTAGCGAGGAAGAGGACGCATTTGACTGTCAGACTTGAGCTGCAATAATATAGAGCGCGACTAACCGCGGGCAGTCTGATCAGCGGGAGGCCACTTATCACGGCCAAGCAAATAACGCGTAGGCGCCAATGCACAGCAAACCACGCTTAAGGAGCGGTTTCGATATGTGTCTTCGAAGGTGACGCCCGTTTGGCGCTGTGTCAGTGGGTGGCGGCTGAGAGGCCCTCCATGCCGCCCGTCCCTCCCCTTCTCCCCAATAGCGCCGTATTGCTCTCGTTCTCTCCCTCCACGTCGTGGCCAGGCCAGAGCTCGAGTGGCGCCCCGCAGCTAACGGCCACGCAATCAGAACGCAGCGCGCCGCCGGCCAGGAATTTATCGCCCTCAAAGCGCCGCCCTATTGACAATAAAAACATGATGGAATAGATCGGGTGGCCGGTGCCCGATCGAATTGGCCGCCCGGCGCGGGGTGAGAGGGTTTGAGGAGCCAACTCGCCACCGGCGGCTCGTCAACATCCACCGTCTCGGCGGCCGCAGCTCCATAGGGCCACAGTCTGTTCTTCATATATGGTCACAGCGCTCAGAGCGAACTGCGCTCTCGGTGTGCGAGATTCCAGCGACAGAACGCGCTGCGGTCTCGTATTCACATATTATACGGGCCCTGAGAGCGAAATCAAATTCAAATTTGAAATAGAACGATATGTGTTTCCCCAAATAGCCCGGTATCACGGTACGGGTTTTTCAAACAAAGCGAGCCGTATGAGAAAAACAAGTCCAAAAAGAAGCAAAATCGTCCCCAACACAGCACTGTGAGAGCTCTGCCACGCACATTGGGGCGAGTTGCTCTCCACCATTGACGTCAAAAATGCGCGCAACGTCTGCCCGGCCACTCGGGGGACTGACAATGAGCACATATTTATGCACGAGCCGCACCGACGCCGGAGACAGGGGGAAAATGAAGGTCGCCGCGCTCCGCCGTTATTGCAGCGAACTGCGAGTTAATGGACTCCAAACGAACTCAAGTAGACCTCGGAGGGCGCTGTTTGCCCGACACACGCCGGCGCAGCTGGAAACAAAGCGTGATACGCAGCAAACAGTGCGTAGAGTGCATGACTGGAGAGGGTGGTGGTCGCTGACGGTCGGCACAGCGGACCCAGTGGGCACACAGCGGGCACAGCGGACCCAGCGGGCACAGCGGACCCAACGGGCATGTAGAAGACACGACGCGCCTCTCCACGGACAGAGACAACATGGTGCGCTGGATGGTGACCCTGGCAAAGCACTGAGCTGGCGTGGTCACTGGTCACAGACAGACCGAGCGCAGAGCGGCCTGATCAGTGGGTCGGGCGGTTCTACTGAACATGATAAAAGATTTAAAGTTGACGGACGGATTGTCGATTATGTCGGTGAATGGGGTGACGGAAAAGCAAGTGGGAGAGGGTACTGGGATTGATGCTGTTCGTCACAAATGGGCATCTCCTCTGTCGTCGGTGACGTGATGTGCAGGTCTGACGTGGTGACGTGGCGATCTCACCTGACGTGGATGACGTAGTGCTGGATGGGGCTGTTGTTGATGCGACTGCTAGGCGCCCAGGACAGGTACACCGAGCGCGAGGTGAAGTTGGTGATGAGCGGCACGCCCGGCTGCGAGGGCACGTCTGCCGGGCGGAGAGGGAGCGGTGTCAGCGAGGGGGCCTCTGCGACACACGCAGAGAAGCAGGCATAAGACTGCAGTCCGCAACCCAACCCGAAATCAAAGAAGAGTTACACTTGCAAATCATTAGATCAAACATTTACTCGACGCCACAAATGAGCAATATGATTTATGTTCGATGTTCGCGGTGATGCGGAGGCATCAAATTAGTTATAGTGCCAGTTTCGCCGTATTGGCCGGCCAATTGCTCCGCTCTCGCGGACGGCTAGCGTTGCTGAGAGGGCGGCACCGGGAGCGCTATCAGTCTTATCAGAGCCCGTAACACGTCAGGTAAAGTTAATTCTGTAGCAGACAGCTGATGCCGGCTAAGTTCCTTTCCCGAAGGACTGAGGACTGATTGCAATTCCACAGGATGGCAAAACTCTAAGGTGAAGCTAGCAAGCGACACGTCTTAACGTAGATACCAAATGAAAATGAAATCAAGTATTTGTCGTCTGCCGATTGAACCATTTGATAGATTGAATAAACGGGAAAAGTGGAGTGACTTCAGAGTTCTTCCACCTCTGCATCGAATTTAATCTCAGCCTTATGTGACACCACATTCTTAAAAATCAGCCAACCACATATGTGAGCTAAATAATTTGTACCAAGAAATCGCACACGACTGAACCCGCTATGCGTTTAAATTGCTTCCGTTCATAGCACCGTCTGCGTGCAAACCAAGATACTTGGAACGCCAGTTCTTCAGAACCGATCTTTCTATGGGGCAACACGGGTTTGGACTGCCTGATCACATCCTAGAGCGGCGAGCCGGCGACAGCGGCGGGGGCAAGGGCGGGGGCAGGGGCGGGGCGGCACTCGCGGTGACCCGTGAACGGCCGACTCCAATGAAGCACGCCGCCTGGCATCCGGCCAAAAGTCGGGCATACATCGGCTCGTAAACTGCGCACTCCATCAGCGTCGGTCGGAGCGTCGGCGGATCGGCTGTCATCGGCGCCGACAGTGCGAACTGACGACGGGGCGGGGGCGGGGGCGGGGGCGGCGGACAGCGACCCACCATCAGAGGAGAGGGAGGGGATGGCCGGACCGGCGCCGACCTTATCTGGCGCCCCGAGGAGCAATGGTGTGTGTCCTGGCCGGCCTCTCAGACAGAGTGGCATGACGTATCGACGGCAGAGGACCCGCGCCCAGCCGCCGAGCGGCGAACGAACACTGGCTGCAGGGCGCGCCGGCCCGCCGACGGACCGCCCGTCCTGAGCCCCGTGGGAACCTACAGCGGATCCTGCTGTATGCAGTAAGCAGTAGTGGTGTCAATCGGAGCTTGAATCTACGGAATTCCGATTTTGTCCAATGTCCAATTCGGAATTTGGTTGGACAATAACAGCAGGCTTTGGACAACTTTGGACAATCGCTTGCTACACCTCAACATTTTTATAAAGTAATCGTGTTTAACATTGATTGGCTATAAGAAAGCTCAGCTTTCGATATGATTACCACTTTTGAGCTGGTAACGATATATTAAAAGCAAATTAGATAACGGTATTGAGTGTAAACTATTGCGTAGATGTCGGACATCTTTGGACAAATGGCTGGCTTGGACATTTTTGGACGGACGGTCGACGTAAGTATTGGACATTGGACCGACATTGGACATATGCTTTCTGAAATTGACATCACTAGTAAGCAGACAGGGGGACGGACAGCCTTCATCACAAAGTACAACTGACATGTGCTGAGTCCGCCCTCGCACATTAATTAAACATATTCCCTCTAGTACATACATAACTGCCTAGTACGATTGATTAGAATCCCTAACTACGGTTTTGTTTTTAGACTTTTATGTCTTGCAGAGCTACTGATTGCTTATTGCACAATTTGTTTGTTTCAAGGGAAAATCTTGAATACGGACGTCAACATGCACTAACTCTATCGCCATCATTAATTACCAGTCTTATTACATTACGCGCAGTAATCGCAAATAACCGGCATTGATATGAGCTCTATCGAATCGTCTTCGAAACTTGATATCCCTTCCAGCAGATAGATATGTTAATAAATCACTAGTCAAATCAGGCTGTTTGAAGAGATGCCGAGTTTCGCTCGCGAGAGCCGATCTGTATTTGTCACACAACACAGTACAAAGCCCTGCCAAGGAACAATTTATGACACTTGAAATATGGCCTCTTCTTGTTGTACGCTATCTCAACTTCAATGAAACTCGTCAGTTTACGAGACGGACGAGCAGGGTGGTCCGTGGCGTCCAAAGAGACCTAACGCCGTCCGCCACCTCAGCTCAGCAGCAATTAGCTGTTGTGCTTTCTTTGATCCGCTCCTCGGGCACACGGCCAAGTGCCCAAAATCGTTGTCTCACACAACATCGCGATGAATGCCCGCTATGCAGATCAAGCCCCATAAGCCGCGATCGACGAGCCCAAATACAAAGGGAGTAGCAGAGGCGAGACCCTCACGCCAAAGGGAGTACCCTCGTTCCTCAGCCCATTTTACAGATTTTATAGGGAGGACAAAATCCAAGGCAATCAGCTCATAAAACTAAAAAAGACTTCAATGCCGGAATTAATAAATAACAAAATATTTAAGATCAGCTATGTTTTGCCCGGCGAGCCGGAAAACATACTTCTCTCGGCGCTAAAAATATCTTAACATGATCACAGTTGCAGTCCTTTCTCGAGAGGCCTTGGTTGACCCATTCAACCGTGTAAGGCATATTAGACACCAATTCATTGAGTCTGCCCTCTCTGTCGGGTCACTGCTCCCTGTCAGTGCCGCCCAGTGCCGGGCCTCGGGCTCCGGTCGCGGTGCGCGCAGTTAATACCCCAGTGAGGCTGTGACCGTCGGCTGCACGCAGTTAATACCCGGTGAGGCTGTGACCGTCGGCTGCACGCAGTTAATACCCCAGTGAGGCTGTGACCGTCGGCTGCACGCAGTTAATACCCCAGTGAGGCTGTGACCGTCGGCTGCACGCAGTTAATACCCCAGTGAGGCTGTGACCGTCGGCTGCACGCAGTTAATACCCCAGTGAGGCTGTGACCGTCGGCTGCACGCAGTTAATACCCCAGTGAGGCTGTGACCGTCGGCTGCACGCAGTTAATACCCCAGTGAGGCTGTGACCGTCGGCTGCACGCAGTTAAAGGGACTATCCCACCTTCTAAAATGTTGTTAAAACCAGTTAAATTGTGTCCGACTTTATAGATTGGATGACCAGGAACACGGTTCTGGCATTTATTTTTCATTAAACATCTTAGGCTTCCCATATTCCAAACACAAACTTTCAAATATGTGACGTCACAGCCCAAAATTACCTCCTTCCCCAGGCCACATTACTGTCATAAAGCTGATTCTTTTTACTCTGTAGGCACCACAACAAAGTTCAGACCAAGTTTTAAGCGATTTTTCAACGAACAAACCCATTTAAATCAGAATGGCTAAACGAGGTGACGTCACACTAACGGTCGCTCCATGTTGAAGATAGGGCCTTGTACAAGGCCCATTTTCAAATGAAGGGAACGAATTTCTTCAACACCAAGAGGCCGCGGGGGTTGCAACCTAAATAGATAGTGGTTTCTGAACCTCGCCGCAAACTTGGCTATCTCAACTTAAATCCCATGTTAAAGGTGGGATAGTCCCTTTAATACCCCGGTGAGACTGTGACCGTCGGCTGCCGGTGGCGGCGGCGGTGAGGCTGTGACTACTGACCGTCGCCTGCTAGTGACGGCGGTGGTGACTGCCGGGATCAGGAACGGGTGACCCGTCTGTCGGGGACGCGGCCGATCCACTGCCAGTCTCACACAGATTGGTGAAAGATGAGAATGTTACACTAAATGCAGAAAGAAATATTTCAATTCATCAGTGTGCGAACACTGAACCTCCGGCGCCGCTGAAGCCATTGTCCTCTGCCGAAGGTTATAGAGTTGTAACGCCATCAGTTAATAGTTGTGACGTCATCAGTGTGTGTTGAGCGCCGTCAGTGACGTCACCAGCTCTGTTGAACGCCGTCGGACGTCCGTCACAGCCGGCCCGGACGGCATATTCGCGATTCTCCGGGACGATGTGCTTATTTTTCCACCCCGCTAGGTCGAAACAGGCGGCCCGTAAAGTGACTCCGGGTGGTCGCCGGTCGGCTGGCGGGCGGCTCTCCGGGGCAGAGGTCGGCCGGCCGCCCAGTTTTTGGCACTCGGCCAGCTGCGGTAGTACTCCACTGTCGAATTTGGGTGAGTCTTTGACACCCAAACATTGTTGGAATCAGAGGCGAACTAGGGATCGGATAATTAATTGACAGGAGTGGTGTGTTGCGCTGGAATTAACAGTTAGATGAAGCAAGGCTGTTGGCAAATGCATTGGAACCCTCGGCAATGTTCAGTCATCCCATAAAAATAAAAATATTTGATAGTACGCATGGGGTTAGAACCGAAAGATCAATCACTTTTTAATGTCGCAGAGTATGATTATGATCAATGCGTTTTCACCACCTGAATACGAGTATGTAGATACGCACAGTTTCGCGACCCATTATGCCTAAGTAGTGTTGAAATGTACTGTTATCCTGCACACGGTTACGTGAAAAGCAATTTCGGCATCGCGCCCGAATCGGATTCGTTTAATCTCATCGCAAGCGTAACCGGAGGTGCGAGCCTGGCGATATTAGCTGGCTTGGTATTTGGCGGCGAGTTTTATACAACAGTGCGTTCGGAGAAGGGCGAATTACGAGAGCGCCGTCTCCGTGAGGCTGCCTGCTGGTTCAGGGTTCCGCCGTATCCCCTCTCCTGTAAACACTCACCGCCCTCGGCCGCCCCTGCTCCGGGAATTAACAACCCGCCTCTGTTCCTTGAAGTTCCTCTCACCTGTGCATCTTCTGCGAACTATACCTACATCGTCCTATCTCCATAGCTTTTCGAATAGCAGCTTATCTGTCCGTGAAGCACAACCCCTGCTCACTCAGAACAGTACGGACGGACGGGCGAAACTGCCACTGGATACAGTCCACCG